GGAAAATAGGCAGAGAGAAGGGGGGAAATCACCTCCTTTTTACTCATGCTGTACCTTTATTAATCTGACCCAAAGTAAGTCTCAGAGATTACTTCTCTTTAGCAGGCACATCACACTGATAGAGAAGCTTACTGGGTGGAGGGGGAGGAATTAGGGAGGTTACTGGGCTCAAGCGGGGGAGCTCACCAGTCTGGCAGCAACTCTTTGATCTTCTCCATCAGTCCTAGGGAAGGATCCAGCTGGAGGAACCAGGCGAGCTGAATGGCACTGAAGAGGAAGAGCCAGCTGAGGGGGCTGGCAGGGAACACACCAGTAAGAAAGTCATTCTGCAGGGAGGAAAGGCACCCATTCAATCAATTAATCCTCCTCTAAGCACCATTCTTAGACATCGACAGAGCACCCAGTGTGCGCTGAATCCCGAGCTGGGTGCTCAAGACCCAGTGGGGACCAGAGAGATCTGGGTCATGCCCTCAGGGAAGTCAGTCAGGAACGAAACGAGTGCTAATGACACAAAAACAAGGCAGGCACAAGAGCCCTGAGCAGGATGCTCCGCTTGGAGGAGTCAGGGAGGGCTCCCTGGAGGAGGTCACTCCCAGGCAAAATGGCCCTCCATATACTGCAGGGCCTGGAGCTCAGCAGGCCTTCTAGAACTTCATGGCTATGGAATGAATGAGGAATGCAGAAGTGCTGGGGAAGTGCATGGAAATACCTAACGCTTAACCAGCGCTCACTACCTGCCCGGCCCCTTTTCCAAGGCGGAACTCTTAAAACCCCCCCAACATCTCTGTGCGGCAGGTACTCAGGCGATCTAATTTTGCAAAAGAAACCACTCGGGTTCAAAGTCACACAGAGAGCATGATAAGAGCTGCTATTCGTTGCCATCAGGGCTCCAGAAACCGCGTTCTCTCTTCCCACATTTAACAAATGGGAGAGCCTCAGAGATCACGGTTTAGAACTTGGGCTCTGGGGCCCTGGGCTCAAACCTCCGCTCTGTCACTAACAAGCTGAGTGACCGCGAGCAAGTGGCTTCACCTCTCTGTGTCTGTTTCCTCATCTGTGGAATGGGAACAATCCCAGTACTTGGCTCCTGGGACTGTCATGAGGACGGGATGAGAAAATGTCCTCTCACAAACAGTTATTGTGGTCCTACAGCAGTGATAAGACATCAAGATTCCTGCTCTCCTGGGGGACAGAGCAATAGCTACGTCGGTAAAGGATTTAGGGTAGTGTGGCAGGTGGCATTAGGGACTGTGGGCTAAGCAAAGAGGGCTGGCGGGGCAGGGGGGAGGGGGGAGGGTAGTGAATTGCATAGCTCAGAGCCAGGCACACAGTAAGCGCTCAGTGAACGTCATTACCAATGCTCCTTTCTTTCTGTGGCTACCCTACTTCCTGTTGGGGATTTATTTATGGGACGATCTTCCCTTGGCGTGGCAAGAAAAGGTTACTGGCAACCGTGGTTCTTTGGTTGCTTATTATCTCTTTTTAAGAGAAGCAGTCTCTTCCTTTATCCGGGGCTCGGGATCGCGGTAGAACGGGGCTTCGTAATAACGGGAAACGTCTCCAGAGCCCTTCCCAAGGACGAGATGCCTCAATAAATCATTGCATTGCCCTGTATCTCAGCAAAACAGTAGTAGATACCACTATCTCTATCGCAGGGGCGAAGAAAGTGAGCAGACAAGAAGTTTGAAGAACGTGTCCCAAGCCAGGGAGGGCCCACTGTCAACCCCTCAAATCGTCCAGATGTCTTGTGACCCTAATGCAACAGGATATAGTGCAAAGTTCCACACGGGGGCGCCTGGGGTCCGCTGCCTCTCATATTCATCTGGAAACCATCTCAGGAAACACTGCCCTCCTGCTGCCGAACAGCCCACATGTGCGCTGTGCCACGTGCTTGGCCCAAATGACCCCCTGCACGTCATTCACAACAGCCCCATGGCATGGGTCCTGGGACCACGTTCTGGAAAAGCAGGATAGCAGGCGTGGGTATGGGTTCCACAGCCAGACTGCTAATTCTGGTCCTGCCTGGAGCACTGCATCTTGGCAGCTGTGTGACCTTGGGAAAGTTGAAGGCACCTCTCTGGGCCTCTGTTTCCTCATCTGTAAAGTGGGACAGAGAATAGGTCTACCTTAGAAGGCTATAATGAAGATCGGGTGAGCCATACATTTATTTATTCTGAGTTTTATTTGTAAAAGATTTTATTTGGGGAGCACCTGGGCGGCTCTGTCCGTTGAGCCTCCGACTCTTGGTTTTGGCTCAGGTCGTGAGTTCGAGCCCCACATCTCGTTCTGCGCCTGGCAGCATGGAGCCTGCTTGGGATTCCCTCTCTCTCTCTCCTTCTCTGTCCCTCCCCTGCTCGCGCCGTCTCTGCCCCTCTCAAAAATCAATAAACAAACTTCAAAAATTAAAAAAAAAAAATTTTAAGTCATCTCTACACCCCACACGGGGCTCAAATTCACGACCCTGAAATCAAGGGTCACACGCAAGCAATAGATTTAAAGGGTTTTGGTGAGTGTAGAGCCCAAAACACACTAAATATGACCTGATGTGATTTTCGAAACGAGGAGGCAGAGACTCAGAGAAGTTAATAACACGCCAGAGGGCACCCAGCACTTACGACCTGTGTGGAACCACCAGGATCGTAGGAATGGCGATGTTTGGAGCGGTCACTTCTCTGCATCAGACCTTCTGCTAAGACAGCTCATGCTTACAACAATCCCTCGAGGCCGGGACTGTCAGGGACGCCATTTTATAAGTGACCAAGTTATGGCTTAGCAGGACGTCTATGCGATTTCAGCCCTGCGGTTGCTGAGGGCACAGCCCGCACCCTGAAACCAAGTTCCAGGAGCTACGACTTCAGGGTGGCTCCTAAGGTCCCAGAATGGAAGAGAAAGGACAGAAGAGCACCCAATGTCCCACAGGGAGAGAGGCAGCTATGTGATAGAAAGGGAAGAACGATCACTATTACAATGATCAATTAATATAATGACAGGGTCTGGTGGGGCCCACCAGGCATAGGGGACTGACTCTGAGAAGGGCTTTAGGTTTTGACTCAAAAGTAGGGGTGGTGATGGCCAAAATTTTCAACAATGCAGCACTAGTCAAAATCCACTTATAAGTGTAGAAACCAGAACAGCGGTTGCTTTGAGTCGGGGGGGGGGGGGGGGCGCTAACTGGAAAAGGGCTCAAAGGAACATTCTAGAATGGCGAGCAATTCTGTCTTGCTAGGAAGTTGGGCGCACAGGTATTGTCAAAATTCAAGGACTGTACCTTTTAAGAACCTGTGCATTTTTTTCTGAATGAAATGATATCTTAATTTTAAAAATATATG